ATGCACTGAGCATGTGCTGTGTATATGTCCACCTGTATGAAGTTCAGAAATAGGCAAACAAATCTCTGCTGTTCTCATCAAGACAGTGGCAACTATTGGAGCCAGAGGGACCCCAGGGGCACCTGGGGAGGGATGCAGGATGCTGGGGGCCCAGGTGTGCTTGCAATGGATGTTCACTGACCTGCACACTTCCCAACTCTTTTCTCTGCCTGTGCTTCACCTGACGTCACACAGAAAGCAATCAACGCAGGAGATACTTGTAGGTCAAAATGTCACCGGTGTGAGCTAGAAAAGCAGGTCTGGGGCTCTAGTGCCAACCATGCTTCCCACACCTGGCACAGAACTTGAATGAGCACATTTCTACTGCTGCCTCTGAGCACTAAATGCAGCTGTTGGCTGTGGAACGTCTCTGCCTGGGTTATACACTATCAGACTTGAAGGTGGACTACTTATACGTGTGTGTATCTTCTGGCTCCCCAACTAGCATGTGGTCTCACGGCTGACACATTGTAAATACTCAACAAATGTCTACTGGATGTGTTGGTCTCTATATCCTTCAAAACTCAGCAGAATTCACTTTCTCAAGGAGACATTCTTTCACCTTTTATCTTTAAAAAAATCTATTTATTTATTTTTGGCTGTTTTGCGTCTTCGTTGCTGCAGGCTTTCTCTATTTGTGGCGAGTGGGGCCTACTCTTCCTTGTGCTGTATGGACTGACCATTCTAGCAGCCCTCACTGGAAGGTGGGCGTGAATTTGCTAAACCGCTAGTACAACAATGTCTGAAACTTCTTTTTTACGATGATGCATCAATTTCATCAGATGGATCTATTAATTTATTGTTGTTCAGTCACAAGTCATGTCCAACTTTTTGCGACCCCATGGACTGCAACACACCAGGCCTCCCCTGTCCCTCGCCATCTCCCAGAGTTTTCCAAAGTTCATGTCATATCAGTGATGCCATCCAACCATCTCATTCTCTGTTGTCCCCTTCTCCTCCCTACCCTTAATCTTTCCCAGCATCAGAGTCTTTTCCAATGAGTTGGCTCTTCCCATCAGTGGCCAGAGTATTGGAGCTTCAGCATCAGTCCTTCCAGTGACTATTTCAGGTTGATTTCCTTTAGGATTGACTGGTTTGATCTCCTTTTGACTCAAAAATCTTCTTCAGCACCACAATTCAAAACCATCAATTCTTTGGCACTTAGCCTTCTTTACGATCCAACTCTCACATCCTTACATGACTGATGGAAAAACCACTGCTTTGACTATATGGACCTTAACTAACCTTAAATTGAAAAGGCTGTGTCCAGACTTTTGCCATGTGGATCAATACTAGAAAGAATATTCTTGCATAGCTTTCATTTCACAGAGATATTGTATTGCTTTCATTTTACCTTCTGAGCTTCTACATATTGTCTAGCACATAATAAGTGCTCAAAAATACTTGTTGAGGGACTTCCCTGGTAGTCCAGTGGCTAAGACTCCAAGCTCCCAATGCACGGAACCCAGCTCCACTGCTGGTCAGGGAACTAGATCTCAATGCCACAGCTAAGAGTTCAAATGCCCCAACTAAAGTTCCCTCATGTCGCAGGGAAGACCGGTGAAGCTAAATAAGTAAATATTAAAAACAACAACAAAAACCTTGACTACCTGGGAGCAGAATGAAATGGCCATTTTGTTTGATCCAATCTCAGATTTCTTTTGTGTCTTTGATAATACTTATCAGCTTTCCTTTGAGCCATCAAACAGGTGGGGATTTGGGAATTCTCTGGTGGTTCAGTGGCTAGGACTCTGCACTCTCACAGCCAAGAGCCCAGGTTCAATCCCTGGTTGGGGAACTAAGATCCCACAAGCTGTGTAGAGTTACCGACAAAAAAAAAAAAAAAAAACAGGAGGGAATCTGATGGCTGAGTGTGCTGCTGTTTTATCTGATACTATTTGACTGTGTTTGTGGCCTCTCCCATCACAGCTCACAAAAGGACAAAGGGCCAGGATAAAACACATCAAGGAAACCAGATAACCTGTTTATGCTGTTTTAGCCAGTGTTAATTTTCACAAATGTGCCTTTTACTCACCTAGCCCTCGAATGCAATTCTAGGTGATATCAAGAGGGGCTATGACATGAGCGATCGAAATCACACCCGATTTTTTTTTTTTCTGGCCACACCACCCATGGCATTGGCATCTTAGTTCTCCAGCCAGGGATGGAACAAGCTCCCCCTGCAGTGGAAGCATGGTGACTTAACCACTGGACCGCGAGGGGAGCTGCCACCCCCGAGTCTGAAGCCCACGAAGAAAAAGCAGTAGAGGGAAAGGGACCGAGCCGGGCGGAGCGGGCGTGTGAGGCTGGGCCCTCCTCGCCCCAGGAGCAGCCCTGCCGGCAGCACTGGCCTCACGGGCTCTGGGGGAGCAACAGGAGGCAGACGCACCTCGAAGCTCCCGGGGGCCAGCAGGGAGGGGGTTGAGGTTGCTCTTCATTTGTTTCTGCCCAAGAACCAACTCAGGAATCTTTCCAGGCTAGATTTTTTTTTCTCATTCAAAATGAGACCACTTTTATTGCATTCTGTGGGGGGGTGGGGGGGGGAATACTCTTCCTTCTAAGGTAAGATGATCAACACAGCTATAGGCACTGTTTTTTTGTTTCCGGTTTGTTTTTTTTGGTTTGTTTTTCCCCAGACTGTGGGATCTTAATTTCCAAACCAGGGACTGAACAGGGCCCCTCGCAGTGAAAGCCCAGATTCCTAATGACTGGCCCACCAGGGAGTTCCCAGGCACTGTTTTAAATGAATGTGTGCACCTCCCTGGAGTCTAGTGGTTAAGAATCCGCCTGCACGTTCAAATCATGTTCAAATGGAGGAAGAAGTCTGAAGTCGAATGTTAAGGAGAACAACACATCTCTGATTTTCTTCAAACTTTTCCATTTAAGGAAAAGACAGAAAGGTGAGAAAATTTACACACAAGAACCAGCGTACCAGCAAGTCTGGATTCTGAAGATGTTTAGCCAGAGGGATTCTCTCCTAAGTGTGTTTCTGAACTGTGTCCCATAGACAGGGAAGGTCCCACAGGGGTCACTGCAGGGTTGGGGAACAGAGAAGTCACAGCTGCAGGGCCTCTGGCCGCTCTTCAGCTACAAGGCTCTATGCTTGTCTCCCTTTTATGTAACACGGTTCCCTGCAGGAGTTTTCTTTTTTAAAAGAAAGGTTCCTTTCTTTGGGAAAAAGAGAATCTTTTTGTAAGGTATGAGAGTCATTGATTTAGTCAAAGTTCCTAATTCTACAAAAGAAGTAACAAAGGCCATGTCCTTCTGACTGAGTCCAGAGTCCTAGGACACCTACTTTCTCAGATTAAGGAAAAAACACATAGATTTTTAACTATAATGTAGACAAAATGAACATGTAAAACCTTGTTATACAGTTCAACAATGCCTGTGGTGTGCCATGACTTTCCAAGTAAATTATGTGCTTTAAATGCATGAACAAGAATAAATCAATATCAAATTCCTATTTGTCGCAGTCGATATAGTTAATTTAGAAAACATATATATATTTTAAACAGAGGACAGCGAAATTGAAGGAGAGAATCTTAAGTTGAATCAACCAGGACAAAAGTGAAGAGATTCAACCTTAAAAGGATGTTCACTTCCTCTAGATAGAACCTGGCTTGCTAAAATGACTCAGTAATGAATTATCCACATTTGGGGTTATTGAGGACAAAAATTTAAAACACACAACAGCTCTCTCTTTACTGTTTAGCATATTCTATCCAGGCTCTCATCATTAGTTGGTATATACAAAAAGCATGAGTGTAATCTCAACTATAATCTAAATCTGGTCAGAAGTTGCAGTTGAACTTCATTTACTCAGCCTGAAGTTTCAAGGGGAGCACTTATACGCCTACCCTCCTCATGAGAAGCAAGATTTACCTAACAGGCGAGTTTGGGAGAAGGAACTAAGAAGTGCTTGCCTGGTTTCCAATCTCTTCTTTGAAACGATGTATGTGCGCACAGCACCATGAACTTGGGTCTGTGGTAGGCAGCCCGCCCCTGGGACGGGGGTCAAGCCTTTGCTTCCTCCTCTTAGGCCTGCATCTGCGTGGGCAGGCCTCTGACTTGGGATGAAGTGTTTGGAGGCCCACTGTGACTGCACATCTAAAGCACGTCCTCCACGTTCATGGCTCTCAAGTACTACGACCCAACGTAGCTCAGTGCTGTCGAAGAAACATTAGATTGCTCTTCTATGACAGCAAGAAGCCAAATGAGAAAACAGGTTGAGATTGCATTTAACAAGGGCTGCTTTTCTCTGCATCACCATCATGGAAACACCATCAAAAACCATAAACTCGTGTGCACTGACTGAAATGGACATTTTAATCACAATGATTTCACAATGAAAACTAGTTGCAATTTAAAGACTCCCCTTCATCGCTATCTCAGTCATCATTCATCCAGGTGATGTCAAGACAGAGACAAAACTGAGCTTCATTTACAAGTTTTAAATATTCAATTTAGCTACAAACTTAGCAACATTCTACAAATGCTCAGCAAGATATGTTTTAGAAATTTAAACCAAAATTCTGTAAGTAAAAAGAGCAATTAAAGTTGTACTCTTGGATAAGAAAAAAACAAAAAATGTTAACCTAAAACCAGAAATTAATCTTTTGATTATGTATCACAAGTTTGTTTAATTCATAAAAAGGATCTATCCAGGATTCCTTCAAATAAAAAACACCCATATGTGGTTAGTGTTTAGACGCCAGTCATTTACACTGAGGGGTAGAAAAACTGTGGTGGGAGCAGCAGAGCCTGGAAATGATTGTGAACCACTGCCAAAGTGAAATCAATTAGAAAGTAAATCAAACATCTGAAAGTACACTTTCGGTTACTAGACAATAAGATTTCATTTCTAAAGTAGAATTTCAATGCAGCTTTTCAAGAAATTTAAGAATTAAAGAACTATCTCTTAAAAACGAGAGATCTATCACAAAAAAATCATTAAATGTCTCCTTGATTATCACAGTTGAATATAGTTTTACTTAGTATGCATAACTCAAAAAAACAACTCAGAAGTTCACCAAATTAAAAATAAGGATCATTTATATCAGAAATCTGAAACCCAGTGGAGAAAAAAGAAAAGAACTAACGTTGGTCAAGTAAGTCTCCACGCTGTCATTTGAATGGTGTGGAACTGAAGCAGAAAACCCTACGTTTGCTCTTGAAATAAGATTTGCATTGAGTCCTGAAGTAGGATTGAAATTTCCAACAGAGGAGGGCTCTGGGACTGGCGTGCTGCTAGGAGTGCTGAGTAAAGATCTGTTCTGCTGTTTCTCCACCTCAAGTTTGGTGCTGATCTCTGCCAGCCTTTCATTAGCCCTGGGGAAGATGGAAAGCATGGATTTCATTCCAGCTTCCCTCAGTGACTTGCATTTTGTAAGTTGCCGCACATAAATGGAATTCCCATTACACTGTGTGAACACTGAAAGCAGAGTAGACCTGCTGTAAATACTGACAGCTGTGACCTTGTTCTAAAGAAGTGCACCTGTGTCTGGGGCGCCTCAGGTAACAAGTCACAGCTGGGAGAGGAGAGAAAGGGCGTCAGAGGGAAAGGGAGGTGGGCTCACAGTGACACCTGCCGCCTCTGGGACACGCCTGCCCCCAGGTAACAGTTCAGGGATGAACAGACAGACCTCCCACAAAGCCACGTTCAAGTGCTTCCTCTCACCACCCTTGTACATACGTGTCACTCATGACCTCAGAGAAATTAAGCATTTGGCTCTGAGGAATCACCTCAAGCCACAACCTCAAAGGGAGGATGAGAAAGTCAGTGGGTGAGACTGAAGAGAGCTAAAACAGCCCCAGGAACAATGACAAGTATCCTCTGCTTTTCCAAAGTTCACCTTACTTTACGTCACTTCTACGAAGGGCCTATGTCAGCACCTCTTTTTGATGGTCCTAAATAAATAAATAAAGATCCAAAGACAAACTTTGGTCTCATTTAAAATGCCAAAATTCTAAACAGCGTTCAGTGTACGTTTTAGAGAGAGAGGCACGGTGCTCCCCATGCAGGGAGACTGGCCCCACTGAGCTCCTTCCCCGGAAGCCACACCCCACATCTCAGCATCAAGTCCCACAGCCCTGAACCCTCTCTGGGAGCACCTGTGCTTCCCTTGTGTGTGCTTATTTGGGGCATAGACTAGCAGAATGCGTCCTCGGGTCCCTGCTCCTTTGCTGTGCTCTCTGGGCTTAGGAAAGGCGTCCTAGGAGTGCTCTGCTTTCAGAGGGCACTGCAGGTGGGATGTGCCCCTTCCAGCCTCCATACAACCCCTCAGTCAGGTCACCATGCGAATTAACCTGCCTTTCACCCCTGTGTGAATATTCCTCGATTTCACAAGCATGCTTTTACTTAGTGTAGGAAAACTTACCAGGATATCTTATTACTCATTTTTCTTAGGGTGGCCTATAGCAGTGTTTATCTAGTTAGTTTTCACTTCCTACTAATCTCAGGAACCTGGCTCTATAAAAATTAGGCTTCAGACACAAATTAATGGACTAAATATATTTGCTGTGATTCTGGGTTTTGACTTACTTGTCTAGTTTCTTTTCCAAGGACTTTCTAACTTTTAGTTCCTCTAGGTAGTGTTGCTTATACTTTTCCAACTCTGCTTTATTAGAATCTTCAAAAGTTTTCATCTTGGAGAGTTCAGATCCCAAGTCTTTAATTCTGAGTTCCATCTGACTTCTTATGGAAGCAATATGCTCCTCTTGGAAATGCTGTAAATTTTCTTCAGATGCTGCTTGTATCTAAGTCAAATTTAAAAAGATACTTTTGTTAATGATTATAACCTGAATAATATTTGTTCCACTTAGTTTTGAGTCAGTAATTCAGATGGCGATTTTAAATGCGAACATAAGAAAATCGGAATTTGAAAATAACCATCGTCAATGTGACATGAATTAAATCTGAATTATAAAATTAATGTGGACTCAATGTTATAGTAGTTATAGTAGTCTCCTGCATTGCAGGTGGATTCTTTACCAACTAGGCGATCAGGGAAGCCCATATTAAAACATCACTAAAGCAAACTGCTGTTGTCATAAGCCCACATATTTATCACTACCCTCCTATGCTTTCCTGTCTCTCGAAATGTTCCCTGCAGATCAACTCGACAATCCAAACACAGTAATACTCTCAAGTTTCAAGAACTATCTTTTCAAGGCCCAAGGGGTAAAACACCACAATTCAGCCTCTTTCTCTCTGATCCTCTCTAGCACTTTTACACAGGCACAGGTACCAAAGAAACATACACTTGTTGGGAGACTGGGACTCACACACATCACACTACACACTATTGTTTCTAAAATAGATAACTAACAAAGACCAACTCTATAGCACAGGGAACTCAACATTCTGTAACAACACATATGGAAAAAGTGTTTTTATAAAGAGCGGATATACATATATACACATAAGTGATTCACTTTGCTGCACCCCTGACACTAACACAATATTGTAAACCAACTGTACTCTTTAACCTTTTCTCCAGAGAAGAATGGAAGGAAGAGACACAAACATTTGGCTACAGACTGACCTGGCATTATGCAGTAATTTTTAGATAAAACTCACTTCGGAACCCAAAGTGTAGGGTAGGAAAATCAGGATATTGTCACTGTCTTCAAACTAAAATCAATAAGCAGCCCGGTAGCGGTAGGACGCACGCACCGGCCAAGCCCACCGCTGGAGCCTCCTAGCTTTCTCCGGGCGCCCCGCCAGACCCACGCGGAGGGAGCGCGGATTCCACCCCCAGCTGCCCGCCTCTCAGGCCAGATGGTGACCGCCTGCACTCCCGGCTCCCAGGGCCTCATTTCCGGCTCACACACCCCCTTCGCTGCAGGCCTGGCTCACAGCGCCCCTGGGCGCCGGCCCGCGTGTCCCACTGACAGAGCCCCTTATCCGGCTCACACGCCCCCCGCACCCCGCCGGCCCGGCTCGCCGCTCACACGCTGCCGGCTCACGCTCCGCGCACACACGCACCCCTCTCCCCGCCCCACGCCGCCCGGCTCGCAGCTCACAGGCACCCCTCTCCCCGCCCCACGCCGGCCCGGCTCGCAGCTCACACGCTGCCGGCTCACGCTCCCCGCTCACACGCACCCCTCCGGCCGCTCCCCGCCGGCCCGGCTCGCCGCTCACACGCTGCCGGCTCACGCTCCGCGCTCACACGCACCCCTCTCCCCGCCCCACGCCGCCCGGCTCGCAGCTCACACGCTGCCGGCTCACGCTCCCCGCTCACACGCACCCCTCCGGCCGCTCCCCGCCGGCCCGGCTCGCCGCTCACACGCTGCCGGCTCACGCTCCGCGCTCACACGCACCCCTCTCCCCGCCCCACGCCGCCCGGCTCGCAGCTCACACGCTGCCGGCTCACGCTCCCCGCTCACACGCACCCCTCCGGCCGCTCCCCGCCGGCCCGGCTCGCCGCTCACACGCTGCCGGCTCNCCGGCTCGCTGCTCACACGCCGCCCTCGCCCCAGTGCGCCGGGCCGCGCTCCCGGCTCTCACAACCGCCGACGCCGGCACGTGCTCCCCGGCCGCACGCCCCCCGCGCAGGCGCACGTCCGACTCGCCGCTCACACGCCGCCCTCGCCGCAATGCACAGGGCCGCGCTCTCGGCTCTCACGACCCCCGACGCAGGCACGTGCTCCCCGGCCGCACGCCCCCCGCGCAGGCGCACGCCCGGCTCGCCGCCCACACAACCTCCGCCCCCAGGCGCCGGCCGGTGCTCGCCGCTCACTCGCTCCCTGCGCGCCGCCGACCCTCGCGGAGGCCAGGCCTAAGGAGCCACGTTTTGCGAGAGGCCATGGAGCCGGCCCTGGAGCCGCCCCGCGCGGCCGAGGGAAGGCTGCCTGAGGCGAGGCGCCGTGAGGGCGGAGGCGGGCGGGCGCTTCCCGGGGCCGCTGCTCAGCGGCTGCACAGCCGCGAGCGGACGTCGGGTGTGCCTGTGGTTCCACTCCGTGGCTGTGGGCAGGTCGGTTTCGGCAGCTTCCCGCGCGGGCCGGCGTCGCCGCCATTTCCTCAGCGACCCCGCCGCCCGGCTTCCTCGAAGCCGCTCTGCGCGCGTGCTCCGGTGAGCGTCTCGCCCGGGTGACGCGCGGAGAGACCGGGAGACGTACTGCTGGAGCTGAGGTAAGAGTTACACCGGGCAGGTGGGGACAGGGTAGCCCGGGAGTTAGGGCCGCGCCCTGAGGGCTGCCGTGAGGGTGGCCCCACTGGGGAGCCGGCCCTGCAAGCACCTTCCCCTCCCCGCCGGGAAAGGGCGGGCAGGAACGGGGCTCTGAAGCCAGAGGTTCGCTCTTCACTCACAAGGCATTTCAGAGAAGCCATGGGATTACTCTTGTGTTTAGATAGCTGTCGCAGCGCTTATGGCTCATCTGGTCAAGAATCTGCCTGCAGTGTGGGAGACCCGGATTCAATCCCTGGGTTGGGAAGATCCCCTGGAGAAGGGAAGGGGATGTTTTGAACATCCAAGAGCACTTAGTCTGACACTTGGGCCATTGAACAGATGGGGAAGTTGAGCCACTGGAATTAGGCATCAAGTTAAAGGGCTTGTCTGAACTTGGCGCTGTTGGAAGCAGAGCCCCAACTTGAACAGTCTTCTTCGGTTCCAGTCTGTTATTCTTGCAACTTCAGGCAGTTACCTTATCTACAAAGTTAGGAGACCACAGTGGGAGGTTCCCTGGAGACATAGAACTCAGAGGGTTGTTGTTCAGTCTGTAAGTCATGCCCCAGTCTTTATGGCCGCATGTACTGAGGCACGACACCAGGCTTCCCTGTTCTTCCCTGTCTCTCTGAGTTTGCTCAAATTCATGTCCATTGGGTCAGTGATGTCATCCAACCATCTCGCCCTCTGTAGCCCCCTTCTCCTTTGTCATATCCTGAATCTTTCCCAGCATCAGGGTCTTTTCCAATGAGTCAGGTCTTTACATCAGGTGGCCAAAGTATTGGAGCTTCAGCATCAGCCCTTCCAAGGAATATTCAGGGTTGATTTCCTTTAGGATTGACTGGATTGATTTCCTTGCTGTCCAAGGGACTCTCGAGAGTCTTCTCTAACACTGCAGTTCAAAAGTATCAATGCTTCGGTGCTCAGCCTTCTTTATGGTCCAACTCTCATATCCGTACATGACTCCTGGAGAAACCATAGCTTTGACTATAGGGACTTTTGTCTGCAAAGTGGTATCTCTGCTTTTTAAAAAGCTCTCTAGGCTTGTCATAGCTTTTCTTCCAAAGAGCCAGGGTATTAAAGTTTCATCGCTGCTGTCACCATCTGCAATGATTTAGGAGCCCAAGAAAATAAATTCTGTCACTGTTTTCATTTTTTCCCCATCTATTTGCCATGAAGTGATGGGACTGGATACCATGATCTTAGTTTTCGAAGGCTGAGTTTTAAGCCAGATGTTTGAGAGGGGTGGAGGCTTTCCAGTAAGTCCCCACTAGGGTGGGAAGACTAGATCACACGGGGAGAAAGGAGCGCAAAGGCGCAGACACTGCCCACAGGTGCTGGCTTTTCAGCCTGTGAGTCCAACTGTCTGTTTCCCACTTTGGGAAGTGGCGGGGTGGAGGGGGGGAATCAGGGGTGAACTTACAAGTGTAAAATCACTGGCTTTTCTGAGTCTTAGAGGGCGCCAGTGCACCTTTTCTTGCAGTCCTGGCTGCCTTTGGGGGCTGGCGGCTGGGACAGCTGAGCTGGGTTAGACTAAGAATTGGTCTTGATCTGATCGACCCCTCACACCCTGGACCCACACATGCTTCGAGAATCATGCCTCCGTGGCAGATGGTAGCTGTTGAGAGCAGGGACTCTGCCTTTTTCATTCCAGAATCCCTCATGGTTAGGTGCTGTGTTTGGCAGATTGGAATGATGCCCTTTGTATCTGCAGAACTATCCATTTGAGTCTTTAGGAAAAATTATCTTGAGTTCCCAGGGGCTTACAGCTGGAGGTGGGAGCACAAAATGATGCAATTCCCAGTGTAAATTTTAACAATTTAAGTCTTAAAAATATAAATAAAAATTTAAATCTGAAAACTGAGTTGTATCTTTACTCAAGTTTATTTCCTACTCGGCTTTTGTATACCTGCTGATCTCCTAATCGTGCAAGAGTTTCAGCTGTCCCTTAAAATAATATTTGTGATAAAAGGAATACTTAAGTGAAGTCTAGTAAATCAGACTTTTTCATGATATCTTTTTAACCATTTGGTGAAAGAGTAGGTACAAATCATGCTTTCATTTTTCATTAGAAATCATTTCATACATCCAAGCAGCATTAAATAGTGTAATTTTGTAGTTATACCCATAGTGCTAAAGCATTTTTTTTTTTATGGCTCTAACAGTAGACAGGTTGTTTATCATTTTGTTTTGAAGTGTTTTGTTGTTGGCTGTTGTTGTTATAGCATTATTAGGGTTTTTTTTTCTGGTAAAAATTTTAATTGAAATATAGTTTATTTGCAGTGTTTCAGGTGTAGGAGTTGCTTGTTCACAGATATTGTGTAGCATTTATGAATTTTATAATTCTCATGTTTTTATCCTTCCAAGGGAAGTTTTTTTAGAAATTTGCCAAAGTAGATAGCAGAAAAACTCCTTTGGCCTTTCTGTCTTCTCTCCTAGCAGTGTGTATTTTTTTTCTTTTCCCTTTTGGTAGTAACCTTTTAAGATCATTTTCCAATAAAAAATAATTTACATGCTTTTGTCATGTGTTATTACTTCTTTAGACTATTGGTTTTTTGTCATTAGTTTTATTGTGGTATAATTTATGTACAACACAATACATATTTTCCTAGAGTTTTGACAAATGTATACAATCCTTGTAACCAGCAACCCAACCAAGATGTCTGCCACCCCAAGGATTCCCTTTTCTCTTTTGTGGCCCTGGCTACCTTCCCATCTGCAGTCTGAGGCAGCCAAGAATTTTCTTTCCCCTACAGATTATATTTGTCTTTCTTACTGTATTTCTGGAGTCAGCATGGCGGCAATTGCAAGCTTTTCTGTGCAGGGCCAGTTAGAAGCATACAGTGTGTGTTCCTTTCTGTCTGACCTCTCAGTACGGTGTCTTTAAGATCATCCTCAATGACCGTGTTGATTGTGTATTTTGTTAGTAAGTCATTCCTTTTTATTATTTTTAATTGTGGTAAACAATACAAAACTTAAATGTTGCCATTTCTAACCATTCTTCTGTGTCCTCTTAGTGGCATTAATTATATTCGCATCATTGTGCAACCATCACCTCTATTTCCAAAGCTTTTTCATAACCCCAAATGAACTCTATAGCTTTTAAGCAGCAACTACCCACTCTTCTACCCCCTCAGCTTGGTAGCCTCTCATCTACTTTGTTTCTATGAGTTTGCCCATTCTAGACATTTCAGATAAGTTGCATCCTACCATATTTGTCCTTTTGTGTCTGGCTTATTTCACTAAGCAGTGTTTTCAAAGTTCATGTTGTTGTATGTGTCAGCACTTTTTTTTTTTTGACTGAGTAATACTCCATTGAATAGACATACTTTCTATGAACATAGGTGTTCAGTTCTCTTGAGTGTATACCTAGAAGAGGAATTGCTGGATAATGTGGGAATTCGATATTTGACGTTTTGTGGACCCACAAGACTTTTTTCTACAGGGCTGTACCATTTGACATTCCTACCTGCATTAGATAAGTGTTCCAGTTTCTCCCCCTCTGCAACACTTGTCATTATAACCATGTTAGTAGGTGTGAAAGGACTATTG